AACCCTAGAGAACAAATGGATTTGTCATTTAAAAAATGGAGAGGAGAGTTATTAAATGGGAGTTGAGGTTTTGGGGAAAGTTGGAGGGAATATTTTGAGGAATTGTTAAATGTTGATGAATAGGGAAGCTGTGATTTCGTGATAGGGCAAGGGGAACAACATTTGTAGGAGTGAGGGAGCCAGTTGTGAGTGTGGGGGAATTGTGAGGCAGTGGTAAAAAAAGGGGGTAAGGCAGCTGGGATTAGGGATAAGATGAAAGAAAAAAGGGTGGGGATATAGTTTTGAAGTGGTTGGGCAATTATTTAATAAATGTTGGAAGGGGTAAGGTCCCTGGGGTTGGCAGAGAGCATGCATATTTTTCCTTGAAAAGGGAAAGGGGTAAAAAGAGTGAAAAATTATGGGGGGATAAGTCTGTTGAGTTCCCGGGAAAAGTGTAGGAGTTAAATTATTAAAAAATTTTAAAGGAAGACGGAGAAAGGATCAGATGAACAAGGGGCTTTAGGAAAGGAGGGGTGTGTGCCCCGGGTTTTTAAGTGAAAACTAAAGTGAACTATTTATAAGGTAAAGAGGTCTTTGGGATTTAGGGTTTGGAAAAGGGTATGACAGGGGATGGGGGGCAATGTGGCGTTGTTGCAGGTGTATGGTGAGGAGGTAGGTTACTGAAAGCAGTGAAGATTTTTACGAGGATAGTGGGGCTCAATTTTGAGTTGTAAAAAAGATGGAAATTATTTCCCCAGTAAAAGAGGCCTTAAAAAGGAGTGTGTGTCCCCGGGTATTTAATATATTTATAGATGGGGTTGTAAAAAATAAATGCGAGGGCTGGCAAAGGCGTGGGTTAAAAGATAAGAATCACACATAAAAGGGGGTTGTCACGCTGCTCTTTGCTGATACACTGTGCTCTTTGGGGGACGAAAAGAATTGCAGAATGGTGGGTGAATTTTGGGGAGGGGGTGCAAAAGAGAAAAATTTAAAGGAAAAACAGGAAAAAGTAAGGTTTTTGAGGATAAAAAAAGATTAGGTGAGAAAGATTGGGTTTCAGATTGGAGGGGGAGAATAGGAGGGGTGAATGATTCATATACAGTTTTGGGGGTGGACGTGCAGGCAGGGTCTATGAAGATGAGGTGAACATAGAATTGTAGGGAAAAGGGTGGTGGTGCATTAGGAGCTGGGAGACAAAGAAATTTGTCCTTGGAGGCAAAGAGGGGGGAAGTATGAGAGTTATTTTTTCCAAAGCTCTTTTATGGTGTGAAATGGGTGATGAATGTTGCGCGGGAGAAGGCGGGGCAGTGGGATGTCATGTTTGAGGCAATGTTGGTGTAAAATTTAAAAAGAGAATTCTTTGTTTGGAATTAGGAGGGGTGCGGGATTACCAAAATGTTGTCGAGGGGTGAGGAAGGGTTGTTTAGGTTCGGAATGGGAGGAATGGAGGAAAAGTAACTTTAAGTGTGTATCATCTGTATGGAAGGAAGGGGGGTAGGGGTCGGCCCCAGGGAAAGGTTGGGGGAGGGGGGAAAAGGGGGTTTTTTTGTGCGAGGGGCTGGACTTCCCGCGGCATGCGTGGGTGTTTTTGGGAGGGTGGAAGGAGAAAATGGTTTTTTAATACTTGACGTGCTTTGGGTGTGAGCAAAGAAATTTATGAAGGGGTTCAGGGAACCCCGGAGGCCGGACTTGAGTCCCGGAAGGGAAGTACAGTGCCTGCACTTGAAGGGGGGGTTTGTTTCATTTAAAAAACTGTAGTGAAGCACCCTTCTGGCAAGACAGTGATGGGTGAATGAAGGGGAAAGTTTTTTTTTTTTGGGGCCACCCTCCCTTTGGGTGGAATCGGCCAGTGGATAAATAAAAAAAATAAAAATTTAACCGGGAAAAAGTATACGGTAGGGTTTAACGAAAGAATTTGAGGTAAGACAAAAGGGGTTTGGGGGATGGCGGGGAGGCTTCAGAGGGGGTTTGGGGGAAGGTAGATCAAGTTTTTTACTTTGAAGCATAAAAGTAACAAAATTTAGTTAAAGGTGGGAAATTTTTTTTTCTTTTAAAGGATTTAAAAAAGGGGCAAAAGAAAAGAGTGAATAAGGGGGAAAGGGTGGCAGATTTTGCAAAATATGGAATAGGTGTAAGTTACTAAAGGGTTTTAAGAGTTTTTTTGGGGGTATTTGGAGGCTCAGGTTGGGGTGTGTAGAAGAGGGGGGAAATATTTCCCCCGGTAAAAGTAGGTCTTAGCGGGTGGTAATGTCACCATGGTTTTTTAAAATATATTTATAGATGGGGTTGAAAAAAGAAGAAAATGCAGGGTGCAGGGGGGGGGGTGGGTTTAAATTATGGGGAATCAAATTAAAAAATGGGTGACCAGTTACTTTTGCTGATGAACGGTGCTTATGGGAGATTTAAAGAAAAATTGAAAAGGGGTAGGGGAAAGATTTTGGGAAAAATGTGTGTAAAGGTAGAAAGATGAAAGTGAACATAGAAAAAGTTTAAAGGGGTTTAGGGTATCCCAAAAAAAAATTTTTGATAAAGAAAAATTGGATATCAAATTAGAGAGGAGGAGTATGGAAAGGGAATGTTTTCCCGACAATTGGGATTGACGTGTTGGCGGATGGATTTTTGAAGGATGAGGTTAATCATAGAATTGCGAGGGAAAAAAAAGGGGAGTGGCGCGTTGGGGGTACATGTGGAGTCAAAAAACGCTATCTATGGAGGAAAAAAGGGAATGTATGAAAGTATTGTGGGGACCAAAACTCTTTTTAAAGGAAAGTGAACTTGGGGGGTAAATCAGCAGTGAGGAGGGTTTGGGGGCCCCCCTTGGGGTGTCCTTCTTTAAAGGGGAATGTGTGGTGTAAATAATTTTGCAAAAATTCGGAGTGTGGGAAAATTTGGAGAAAGTGGGGGGAGTTAATAAAAACATTAGTCCGAGGGGAGAAGAAAAGGGGTTTTTTGAGGTGGTTTGGTCATTTAGAGAGAATGGATCCAAGTAAAAATGAAAATGGGAAAGCATAAAAAATCTATAGGGGAAGGAAGGAGGGGAAAGGGGGCTCCCGAAAGGGTTGGAGAGAGGGGTACGGAGGTTTTTGTGGGGAGGGGTTAGACTTCCAGCAAACGTACGTAGCGTGTTCGATAGGGGGAATGGAGACGAATGATACTTGGGGCCTGCGATTTTTTGGGGGTGTGAGCAGGGTAATATTTAGTGAAGGGTACGGGAAAACCCGGGTTTTTTTCATATAGCGGCTTTGGCCTGGAAATGGGGAATACCAAAGCCTGCACTTTTAAAGGGTGGGTTTGGGATATTGGGGAGTTTTGGGGGGATATGTTTTGTATCCCTTTAAAAGTATATGCTTCTAAAAATTTTTGTATTTTGGGGCACCTCTGCAA